TTGGCTAAATTTAGGAACTTTGGAATCTACATACCTAGGGTAATAAAACGTTTTCATCCATCTAACTCAGAAGTATTTGTTTATCTTGATAATGTGTAGCCTGTAAGTTAACCTAAACCTGAACTTCTACTCTGTGAAGGCAGTAAGTGAAATACCTTTCTGCAACTATTGCAAAAAAATTAATTTTACAAGCAAGGCTCATCTAACTGGTCACTTAAAATTTAAAAATTTTGAATTCTATTTATTGAAACATGATTATGCTCTTAGCTTATACCTCAATTGCATTTTGTTTATTTTCCAAGTTTGTGTCTTATCAATATCTTGTGTAAACCGTAGATTCAATTCTAAACAAAATATCATAATGTAAAAAAAAGAAAAAAAATCTCATTATCAGCTGTGGAGAATAGTCTGGAGTGAGGGACTGGTAGATTTAGGGACATATCATGTCCTTATATGGTAATAGGAACTTATATGCAGAAAATAAAAAACATGTATAAAATAAAAAAACTGAAATCTTTTAATCTTATTTTCCCTTTGTTTAAAAACACGGTATTTCATTGCTCTGTTTACTGAAAAAGCCTAGAAATAAGGAAGGCCTAGAAACAATCAACATCCCAATGCTCAGAATGGTCCATGTTTTAGATTTGATCAATTGCTTCTTCATGGTGTCCTTTAACTTGATTTTCTATTTCTTGTTTTGCCTGTAGAATGGAAGTAAAATCTGAAGACTTGATTTGACTCAGGTTAATTTTCTTCTTTTTTTTTTTTTGGCAAGGATACCACCTGAGTGTTGCTTTATACTTCACATTGCATCACATCAGAAGGAATGTAATTTCTGGCTGTCACTATTTTAGTGATGCTAAGGTTGGTTAGTGAGTTTATGTGGTTATGGCCTGATATAAAAGTCCTTATTATCCAATAGCTTTAGCATTCACTGGTGGTTGTTGTGCACATTATTTACTACATCAGGGCTTGTTAGATGGTGATTTCCTCACTCACTTTCTTTATTCTTGTTTTTTTTTTGGTGGCTGGCCAGTATGGGGATACAAACCTGTGACCTTGGTGTTATAAGGTTGTGCTCGAACCAACTGAGCTCACTGGCCAGCCACCTCTTTATTCTTCTTTTTAAAAACATCTTTATTGAGGTACAATGACATACAATAAACTGCACATTTAAAAAATGTACAATTTGATAAACATTGACATTTGCATACACCATGAAACCATCACCACAATCAAGATAGTGAACATATCTATCACTCCAAGATGTTTCCTCTGCTCTTCTGTATATTTGGAAGTTTTCATAATCAAAAGTAAAAGGAAAGAAAAAGAAAATATTTATGAGGTAGATCAACAGGGCTTGGTGATTGAATCCTGAGGGTTAATGAGGGGAGGGTCTGGAATAACTCCTAGGTTTGTGGTATGAACCACTGAGAACGTAGGTGGAGGTGACATTTATTGAAGCTGGAAACACTGGAGGAGAAACTTGGTAAGTTCAATTTTGCCCATGTTAAGTTTGAGGTCAAAATGGGACATCCAAGTAGAAATGTCAAGTAGGAGGCTGTTATAAGGAACAGTTTAGACTAGAGATACAAATTTGCAAATATTGGCATGTAGTAAATAAAGCCACGGAGTAAAGTTATCCAGAGAATAAGTACAGAATGGAAAGAGAAGAGGATTTAGGGGAAAGAAAGCTCAAGAAATTCTAATGTTTTATGACCAGGTAGACAAGGAGGAAGGAGGATGAGTGTATAGTATCACAGAAGCCAAGGGAAATAAGGAGAAAAGATGCTGACGTGCTGATCCTAGTAAGTCATACTCTGTATAATCGTTTTACTTTTCTCTCAAAAGTAGTACATTAACATAATGATCTATACACCAGTAAATGTGGCCATACTCCTGGAAGATGTGTCACCTTCAGTGCATTGATAAAACTAAATTTCTGAGTCTGTAAAGCTAAACTATGGACTGAACTATGACTCTGTAAATCAACCAAAATAAATGATGCCATGTGAGGACTCGTGGTAGCTAGTTGGCTAGATTTGTCTGGTGACCTCTAAGCCCCAGAAAGTCTTTCTTTGAGGCATTTACAGTACTTATTAATTTTTTTAGGCAGCTGGAGGTATGGGGATCTGAACCCTTGACTTTGGTGTTATAACACCGTGCCCTAACCAACTGAGCTAACCAGCTAGCCCACATTAAATTTTTAAATGAGTAATACTAAAATAAAGTATTTTCTCTTTTGAATATCATTAATTTATCCAATAGCAGTGGGAAAGTTATAATAACCCAAATTTTTATCTTATAAGATTAAGTAAGGTGAAAAAAATTCCTGACATCCATTTCACATGAGGACATTTCGGGTAGAAGCAGCATTTTAGTAAGATGGTAGTATTTCAAATAAAAATGAAATGTTTTTTCAAAGAACTAAGTGGGAATTCTTACCTTTGTTAAACTTAAGTGACCCACAAAAGCCTACCATAAAGCTGTGAGCGAGGGCTGTGTAATACAGTAGCCTTTCTGTCTGTCCCAGGATCTTAGCATGAAAGGGAATCTGGCTCATTAACAACTTCAACCTCTCCTAAAATCTTGCCTTAAAACTCGTGATGGATGATTATCCAACCACTGCCTATACAATACTCATACATACAGTGAATTTGGAGTACTATGGGTCACTAGATGACAGATGACTCTTCAGAAATTTCTATACTGAGGTTGATAAGATTAAACTCCTTCCTTTGGTATTTGAGGTATCACAGAGTTCTTTTTTTGCAGCTCTTTGAGAAAAGGGTGAAGACAATTCATAGTTTGAGAGCTTGTTTGGAGGTTCTAGCGGGGGAGCACAGCTACTCCTATACACTTGACCAAAGAACAGTCCTCACATCTATTGGGAAAGGTTGTCCTCTTCGACTGAGCACGCAGCTTCAGGAGAGATGCAGGTGGAGTGGTAAGGGAGGAAGGGGACACCCACCTAGCCAGCCAGTTCAGCTGAACCAACCCTCATGATCAATGGGGTGACAGATGCTGCAGCCAGATCGCCCTCACATACATAGTTTGAATGCCTTACACAATTTAGGATTTTCATGTTTGTTGAATGAAAAAATGTATGAATCAATAAAATAAGCATATGGTGTTTAATTGGTTCTGAAAAGCTCGCTCAAGTTCAAGGGTTTGGATCCCTATACCAGCCAACTGCCCCCACCCAAAAAGGAAAGTTGACAGTATTCTACTAACCTACTAAGAACTATTAGAAAAGTCATATAATTTTTTAGTGTTAAAATCCTTTATTACTGCAACACTTAAATATTTAGGAATAGATTTGATATCCGTAAACTTGTCTTGAACAAAAACGCAACTATGCTATGTCTCATAGGTCTCCACCCCCAAGAGAAGCTGACGGACCAAGATTTTTTTCTCCCTTCTTTCCATCCCACCGGGGGTGGGAGGCAGGGACAGGGAGCAAAGTGTGAGAAGCAATGTAGTGTACTGGAAAGAGCACGACCGTCAGAATCAGACAGACTCAGTTCAAATCCACTTTTATTTATTATGGGTCTGATCTAGGGCCATTAGTTACTCTTTCTGAGTCTCAGTTTTTTTTTCATTTTAAAAATAAAAATAATGTTTACTTGGCAGAGTTATTGTGAAGATTAAATAAATTAAGGAGTAGAAAGCATGTAACACAGCGACTGGCTGACAGAATGGATAATGGATAATGGTAGCTACAACTCTTCCATTTGGGCAATATTTCGTAAAACATTTACCAAGAAAAAAATAAGAATGTTATGTTTAATTTTGTTTTCCTTTATTTTTAAATAAGAAATGCCATGGTAATGAGAGGATGAAGTAATGGATAAGAAGTAAGGAGATTCTCAATATCCAAGAGGTAGAAACAACCCATATGTCCCTCAAGGAAATTTCTGGGTTGTTAAAACTGGGAGTGGGGTGGGGGTGCTACTGGCATCTAGTGGTGAAGGCCAGAGATGCTTCTAAACATCACACAATGCCTAGACTGTCCCCCACTCCCACCCTGCAACAAAGAATTATCCTGCCCAAAATGGCAATAGTGGTTGAGAATACCTGATATATAAATGTATACATGTAATACATATAAAACATGTATATAATATGTATATATATTACACACACATGTATACTTACACTTGTGTGTGTATATATATTCTTTTCTCTCACTTGCCTCCCTCCTTTCTTTTAAATTATAACAATTCAGTGAGAAATGGAACATATTTTATGACAAGAAAAAAATCTTATTGACTTTTTTCTCACTGACCATAAATTTGGTCCATATTTTATCTGGACCAGAAATATGACCAATGTAGTAACAAACTTTCTATCAAATTTTTACTTCACCAATGGAATAACAGACTTTCTGCCAGATTTTATTAGTTAATGATAATATGAAATATAATAAAAAACAGAACCCAGGGCCGGCCCGGTGGTGCACTGCTACAGTGCGCCACTTGGGAGCGCGGCGCCGCTCCCGCCGAGGGTTCGGATCCCACATACAGACCGGTTCCCGCTCACTGGCTGAGTGAGGGGCGGGCGCAGCACTGAGGGTTGCGATCCCGTTGCCAGTCCTGGTCCGGTACGGGCATGACACTGAGGGTTGTGGTCTGTTGCCGGACATGAAAAAAGACAAAAAGGAAAAAAAAAAAAAAAAACAGAACCCAAAGAAAGAATCAGCAATCTAAATCCACCCACATGGTATCTGACCACCATTATTGGGATTTTGAAGCACCTTCTAGTGGACCTCACAAATGATTCTTTTTTTTTTTTTGGCAGCTGGCCAGTGTGGGGATCCGAATCTTGACCTTGGTGTTACCAGCACCACGCTCTCCCAAGTGAGCTAACTGGCAAGCCCCTACAAAAGATTCTTAATTTTTAAAAATGTAAGGTGTCTTGGTATTTGTGTTATGACATTCAAACCTGGAATTTATGTAGTCTAGAAAATATTCTCATCAAAATATTTGTCAGCCACACACTTAAAATGTATTGAACATTTATTTTGTAACAAAATAGATAAAACCAAATATAAAGTATATTATTGTTTGCACTTTATACATCCTGATTATGCTGAAGTTTCTTAACACTAATTAAAATAAACATTAAATTAGTTATTTAAAAAATGCCAAGTACATGATTAAGATGATTTTCTTCCTATCAGAAAGATAACTTCAGGAGTTGATAATGATACAGCAAATACTTCCCATTCAGAACATCAGGTCTTCATCTTTTGTTTCTTATACCACTCAGGTGCTTCTTTTTTAGTCTGTTAAAAAAAAAAAAAGAAAAAGAAAAAAGAAAATTAATAAAATGCTTACAAGGAGGACAAGAGAGGCAATTCAGAGAACCAAGTACCTATTTACACTGAGGCTTTTTATGTAAATGATAGTAAATAATTGCTTTTCTTAATTCAGAAGAATACTTAAGGACAAAGTTTTCTTTTGTCTGAAATAATCTCCCACTTGGTATATATGTAGAAAAAACACACGTCTGTGTTTTGTGGTTCAAACCCTGTAACTAACATATACCACAAGGTGACTATTTTATGAATTGATTCTATTTTCAAAGAGAATTATAAAAAATCAAGGACACAACTTCTTTTTAATTGCCTCATCTGTATAGATATGTTAGATATAAATATCATTCAATAGATATTTATTGAAGAACTACTATATCCAAGTTATTGTGTTTTGGATGTTCTGAATTGCTAAGCATTTACTGGAGTACTTTTTAGGTTTATTACTCAACCATTTCAGCCTAAAAAAAGCCAGGCTATACAGAAGAGTAAGAAAAAAGCAGGGGAGGTGAACTGTTACAGAATAAAGCATTCAGAACTCCTTACAAGGTACTGATTCCAATCAAAACAGTCTATTTTACATAATATACTATATATATGTATGTATACAGGCATATAGATAAGTATGATAGCTTATTCTTTTATCTTTTTTAAATATTGTTTCATATGTCATAGCCAATACACAAAATGTTGGAAGTGACACCAATAATCAGCTCCTCCTGACCTTATCCATGATTTTGGCCAGGTTCAATTGCCATCACAATAAACCAGTGGACCCTCCATCTCACTCCCTGATCCCCATCTAATTAGAGTTACTAATACTACCATACCTCTAATTAGAGCTACTAATACTTTCACCTAAACCAGAAATGTTTTATTCCTCTTCATTCTCGATTTCCCCTTCCTCTCATCTATACTAAAAAGTTTCTAACTTTTACTGAAATATTTTTTTAACTCTGTGCCCTGTTTCCATCTTGACCTCACTGGTTTACTTTGGGCTGTCATCATTTCTGGCTTGGTTCCTGCAAGAGCTTCCTATTCTGATTGGTTCTCTCTTCTACTTTGTTCAATTCATTGTCTACAATCCTTCTAAACTTATCCTTCTAAAATGAACTAAGTGGGAATTCTTACCTTGGTTAAACCTAAGTGACCCACAAGAGCCTACCACAAAGCTGTGAGCGAGGGCTGTGTAATACAGTAGCCTTTCTGTCTATCTCAGGATCTTAGCATGAAAGGGAATCTACAACAGTAGATTCATTTACTTCTTGCAGTTCTATCAGTTTTTGCCTCATGTATTTTGACACTCTTTTGTTAGGCACATATACATTCAGGATTGTTATGTCTTCTTGGAGAACTGACCCCTTTATGCTGGCTGGTTAGCTCAATTGGTTAGAGCATGGGGTTATAACACCAAGGTCAAGGGTTTGAATCCCAGTATTGGTCAGCTGCAAAAAAATGGCCCTTTTATCATTATGTAATGCCCAATGCCCTACTTTATCTCTGATAACTTTCCCTGAAGTTTGCTCTGTCTGAAATTAATACAGCCACTCCCACTTTTCATTAGTGTTATTATGGTACATCTTTCTTTACCCATTTAAGCTAAATATATCTTTGTACTTAAAGTGGGTTTCTTGTAGACAACATATAGTTGGGTCTTTTTAAAAATTTGTTTATACAAAAAGGGTCTCATTTTTTGATCCACTCTGACAATCTCTGTCTTTTAATTGGTGTGTCTAGACCCATGATGTTCAAAGTCATTACTGATATAGTTGGGTTAATATCTACCATTATTTGTTACTGTTTTCTATTTGTTGCCCTTGTTCTTTGTTCCAATTTTTGTTTTCTACTTTTTCTGCCTTTTTGTGGTTTTTAACAGGCATTTTATACAATTCCATTTTCTTTCCTTTCTTAGCATATCAGTTATGTGTGTGTGTATATAAACTTTTTAGTGGTTGCCCTAGAATTTACAAGATACATTTACAACTAATTCCAATCCACTGGAAAATAAAATAAGAATCATGTGCTCTTATTTCCTTCAGGTCTTTTTTTCGGGGTGGGGGTGGGGGATGGGAAGGGGGCAGCTGGCCAGCACAGGGATTGAAGCCTGGACCTTGGTGTCATTAGTACCATGCTCTAACCAACTGAGCTAACCAGCCAGCCCTAAAACAAAAAAATTTAAAAATAGAAAAAAGCTTATAGAATAAGGATATAAAGAAAGAAAATATTTTTGTACAGCTGTATAATGGTTTTTTTTTTTTTTTTTTTGGTCCTTTTTGAGACCGGCCGCACTGCACTCAGCCAGTGAGTGGCTGTGAGCGCACTGGTCATCCCTATATAGGATCCGAACCCGCGGTGGGAGCGCTGCTGCGCTCCCAGCGCTGCACTCTCCCGAGTGCGCCATGGGCTCGGCCCAGTATAATGTATTTTTGTTTTAAGCTAAGTGTTATTACAAAAGAGTCAAAAAGTTAAAAAAAATTAAAAATTGGGCCGGCCCCGTGGTGCACTCAGGAGGATCCTATATGGGACTGGCCGGTGTGCTCACTAGCTGAGCACGGTGCGGGCAACACCACACCAAGGGTTGTGATCCCCTTACCGGTCACGAAAAAGACAAAAAAAAAAAAATTAAATTAAAATTTTATAAAGTAAAAAAGTTACAGTAAGCTAAGATTAATTTATTATTAAAGAAATTTTTAAAAATAAATTTAGTGTAGCCTAAATGTACAATATTAATAAAGTCTGCATTGGTGTCCTAGGCCTTCACATTCACTAACCACTCACTCACTCACTCCCCCAGAGCAACTTGCAGTACTGCAAACTCCATTCATGTTAAGTGCCCTATATAGGTGGACCATTTTTCATCTTTTATACCATATTTTTACTGTACCTTTTCTATGTTTAGATAAACAAATACTTACCATCCTGTTACAATTGCTTACAGTATTCAGTACATGCTATACAGACAGGTTTATAGCCTAGGAGCGATAGGTGTGTAGTAGGCTACATATCTAGATTTGCATAAGTACATTCTATGATGTTTGTACAACAATGAATTCACTTAACAACACACTTCTCAAAACATACCCCCCATTGTTAAGTGATGTGTGACTGTATTTTAGTCTGTAATGTACTATCCATTAGTGATAGCCCTAAGTTCCAGACACTGGAAGTTTCTAAGCCTTTACCAAGTCCTGATTAGTACTGAGCAAATAGCATATGATAGATCACAAACTGGCAAACTATGGTCCATGGTCTGTCTTTGGATGAACTGCCTGCTAAGAATGGTTTTGACATTTTTAAGGAAAGGTAAAGACAAACAAAGAATATTCAATAGAGACTGTGTGTGGCTCACAAAGCCTAAAATATTTGCTACTTGCCTTTTAAAGAAAGTCTTGATAAATGACTGTTAAATAAAATGGGCACAAGAAAATAATTCAGATATACAATTAACTGCTTTTTATTTTGATAATTCTATTCTTTTAGCTGTTTGAACAGCAGTGTTTTTTTTTTATTCTACTCTATTATTGAAGTTATTTAATAACTTCATACCATAAGATGATGCTTTATGTAACAAAATTTGATATGCCTCTTCAGTTATTAACAGAATTAACCTCTTAACTGAAGATGGCCCTTAGTTTAAATTTAAGACTTTTGTAGGCTCCATTATATGAAGCCCTTTTCATATATATATGTTAACATTATATTAGACATATCAATTACTTAAAGGTAACTCGCTTTTCTTTTTTTGGCTGCTGGCTGGTATGGGGATCTGAACCCTTGACTTGGTGTGTTATAACATCACGCTCTAACCAACTGCAATAACCAGCCAGTCTAAACATAACCTTTTATACTGGAAACACTATCTTAATTTTTATGTACTGGTTTAAGTTAATTATATTTGTAATTTTATAAAGAAACAGTACAAATTAATTAAAACCTTGAATTGTCAGTGGATTGTTAACAGGTCCCAAAGTAAACTATATTCCAGATTTAGTAAGGAGCTCAGAAAGCTGCTGAAGAAACAAATAGCATGGTTAACTGGAAACCTACTACAAGTAATTTACTATGTTACAATTGATTTTGGAGACAAATAACTGATAAAACAGGTACCTTTGTGTCATCCAGAAGTAGCCAACTAAAACATTAATGTATAACTTGGGGATTATAACATTAGGAAAGTTTGTTAAAATCATTAAAGAATGATGCCTGATAAATGCAGACATAATAAACCTGGTGGATTAGTCCTGGAATCTAGAAAAAGAGCTAGAGATTAAGAATCTATTAGTGTTTAACCAGTATATTTTTCTGAGGGAGAGAAAGACTATGCCCGGTAGACATAATTACTTTGTTTTCCAAAAAACATGTAAGCTGGAATCAAATAAATATTTCTGAGTCCTCACAGGTAGTACCTAACTTAAGTGAGTCTAGGATAATTGATCTGGCTTTACTACCAACTAAATGCAACCCTTGCTGAGATCATTCAGCTCTCACTGCCTTAATCCCACGCTCATTAAAAAGTTCCTTATTTCTAATTTAGCTTACCAGCTAAATTACATCAAGAAGAGGTTGCAATTAACATTCCTGAAACTAGAAATTGGAAAATTAATATTTAAAAAACGTAAATGTACATAGCTAGATATCTTGAGGTCTGGTCATACTTCAAGAAGAGGTTGCAATTAACATTCCTGAAACTAGAAATTGGAAAATTAATATTTAAAAAATGTAAATGTACATAGCTAGATATCTTGAGGTCTGGTCATACTTTGGTGAGATGAATCTAGATTCAACATTAAAAAGTGAATCCAGAGATTCCAAACATAAATGTGACAAGAAAGTGTTATAGGTATGTTGAGCTACGGAGCTCCTCAGCCCCTCGTATCTGGAGTGCCTAGAGCCCCCTTAATCTACCAGCAAAGTTCATTTATCCTGGTGCCATAGAAATATTATACTTTTCTATGTGTCTTATGATATAA